TTCAAATGTTCTAATGTTGTCTGATGACATTATTCTTTCTCTACGCATACAGATGCGTGGACATCTCTTTATGATTCCCACCTGTACTTTTTTTTTGACACTCCAGTTTATGCTTGTAAGACCTGAAGACTCCCCGACAAGCATCCTACCAATATCCTTAGAACCTTTGCTCATGACAATTCGAGATGAGTGTTATATGCTGGGGAAAGAGATCTGTATCTGGAGCCTTCAACTGAGCAACCCAGAGATTGCCAGACTGGTAAGTCATGCATTTTAGAAGTGTTCCTTCAATTAAACTTAAAATTGAATATAAACATAATATGTATTCCAGCTGTAGTTCATTCGGTTGTTGACTGATATGCTCCAAGCTTTTCTTTTTTAAAAAAAACACAATGTATTTTTTTAATGAAACATTTCAAAGTTATGTAAAGGTACAAAAAAACAATAAAGAAATCATGGTATATTCATATAGTAGAAAACTCTATAGGTGGTTCAGTTGGGTAAGCATCTGACTCTCGATTTCAGCTCAGGTCATGATCTCGGGGTCATGGGATGGAGCTCCACGTCGGGCTCCACGCTCAGTGCAGAGTCTGCTTGTCCCTCTCCCTCCCCCTGCTTATGCTCTCTCTCCCTCTCTTAGATAAATAAATATAATCTTTAAAAAAAACTATATAGCAATGAAAATGCATCAAATATATAGCTATACAAAAATAAAATATGATGACTCATAAAAACATACAAGCAAAGAGACACACAAAAGATTACATACCGTATGTTGCATTTTACAAAGTAAAAAACAGGTAAAACTATAATGTTTGATTATCATAAAATTACTTTTAGGGAAGAGGGAGGAGGTAGTAATTGGGAGAGGGCATTAGTGCCCATTTTTCTAGTTTCTTGCCTATTTAAAAATCCCTTGTTTTATTTCATTGAATGTGTTAAACTTATTTTATAATCTGTGTCTAATAGTTTCAATAAACTAAATTATTTTGGAGGCTGATGTTACTGACTCTTGCTTCTACTGGCTCTTACTCATGGAACATTTCCTTGTGTGTTTTTGTGATTTCTTTTGTACTGTAAACTTTTATTTCCTAGGAAAATAGTTGAGGCAATTCCTTGAGATCTGATTTGAAGACAGCATTCTTTTTTTTTTTTTAAGATTTTATTTATTTATTTGTCAGAGAGAGAGGGTGCACGAGAGAGCACAAGCAGGGGGAGAGGCAGGCAGAGGGAGAAGCAGGCTCCCTGCTGAGCAAGGAGCCCAATGTGGGACTCAATCCCAGGACCCTGGGATCATGACTTGAGCCAAAGGCAGACACTTAACCGACTAAGCCACCCAGGCGCCCTGAAGATAGCATTCTCTGGGGAGGATTTGCGTTTGCTTCGGCCTCACACTCAGGGCTATGTTAAATTAAATTCTTGACCTGAGGGCTCTTTGAACCATCCAGGTGGAATGAATTCAGGGTGCAATTACCTATGTTAAGACTAGCTTGTGAGTTCACAGGGGATATATAGTTTTTTTCCTGTGTACTCAGTCTCAGTTTGAGATAGTCAGTTTTCCCTGGGGAAGGGAGAGTTGGGTTTATTTCTAATTCATCCTTACTCTAAGGGCATAGTGCTATAGCTCATTCTGTTTTGAGCCACACCTGTATGCAGTATTTTCTCTTAGAATCCTCACCTCCACTGATCTTGGGCTTTACTGTCCGCTGGACTGCAAGATCCACGAAAAGCACAACTCAATTCCCTGCTTTACCGGTGCTCTCAAAGGAAAAGCTGGCTTCAGTGCCCTGCAGACCACTCGAGGTTCCCACTTTCCCGCATGCATTGATCTTTGGGTATTCCTCACTGTCCTGCCGATCAACACATTTTAAAAAGATATTTTTGAAACTCTTAAAAGAAAGCATAAAGGAAAAGCTTCATGATGTTGGATTTGGCAGTGGTTTCTTATTAAGACAGTAAAAGCACAGGCAACAAAAGAAAAACTAGATGGTTTGGACAACATCAAAATTTAAAACTTCTGTGCATCAAAAGACATACTCAATTAAGTGAACAGGCAACCCATAAAATAGGGGACAATAATTGCAAATCATATATTTGATAAGGGTTTAATATCCAGGATACATAAAGAACTCCTACAATTCAACAACAACAAAAAACAAACAACCTAATTTAAAAATGGGCAAAGGACTTAAGTAAACATTCTCCAAAGAAGGTATACAAATGAATAATAAACACACAAAAGATGTTCAACATCAGTAATCTTTAGGGAAATGCAAATCAGAACTGCAATGAGATACTACCTCATGTCAACTAGTATGGCTACTACTATCAAAAAAAAGCAGAGGGCGCCTGGGTGGCTTAGGCGTTAAGCGTCTGCCTTCAGCTCAGGTCATGATCCCAGGGTCCTGGGATCAAGCCCCACATCGGGCTCCCTGCTCAGCAGGAAGCCTGCTTCTCCCTCTCCCACTCCCCCTGCTTGTTTTCCCTCTGTCAAGTAAATAAATAAAAATCTTAAAAAAGAAAAGCAGAAAATAATGTGTTGACAGGACGTGGAGAAATTGGAAAACCTGTGCACTATTGGTGGGAATATAAATTGGTGTAGCCACTATGGAAAACAGGATGGAAGTTCCTTAAAAAATTAAAAATAGAATTACCATATGATTCAGCAATTCCACTTCTGGATATCTACCCAAAAGAATTGAAAGCCAGATCTCAAAGAGATATTTGTACACTCATCTTCATGGTAGCATTATTCACAATAGCCAAAGGTGGAAGCAATCCAAATGTCCATTAACAGATGAGTAGAAAACAAAATGTGGGATATACATACAGTAGAATATTATTCAGCCTTTAACAGGAAGGAAGTTGTGACATATGCTGCATGTATGAACCTTGAGGAACTTCTGCTAAGTAAGATAAGTCAATCACAAAAGGACAAATCCTCTATCATTGTATTATAGGAAGTACCTAGAGTAGTAAGACTCATAGAGAAAGAAAATAAAATGGCGGTTGCCAGACATTGTGGGGGAAGGGAGACTGGGAGTTATGTTTTCCTGGGTACAGAGTTTGAGTTTTACAAGATGAAAAAAGTTCTGGAGATGGATGGTGTTGAGGGTTGTACAGCAGTGTGAATGCACTTAATGCCACTGAACTGTGAACCTAAAAATGGTTAAGATGGCAAATTCTTTATGTGTATTTGACCACAATTCCAAAATAAATTTTAAAAAGGTATCTTTAATGCATAACCAGAATTTTTAGTTGTTTTTATTAAAAGTGTCAGTCAGGGGGCACCTGGGTGGCTCAGATGGTTAAGCATCTGCCTTCAGCTCAGGTCATGATCCCAGGGTCCTGGGATCGAGCCCCGCATCGGGCTCCTGCCTCAGCAGGGAGCCTGCTTCTCCCTCTCCCTCTGCCTCTCTCCCTGCTCATGCTCTCTCTCTCTCTGTATCTCTGTGTCTCAAATGAATAAATAAAATCTTAAAAAAAAAAAAGTGTCAGTCAGGGTACGCAGTCCATGTAAGCAGGCCATAGAATGCTGTCCATGCATGTTAAAGGCGATCCTTAATAGTTCTTTAAAATGCAGCCTTCTTGGTCACCTGGAGGCTGTTAGGGAATTCTGTGGTCGAAGGCTATGGTCTTGCCCGCAGCAGTTGCTAGTGCCCCAGGGAATGACACTGCAAACCACTGGTTGAGATCGTTAGGACCGGGGTTGAGAGCCTGTTTTGCACAGACCAGCATTACCATAGGCAGCGACATGCCACATTGCCTCCTCTGTCAGAAACACAGCTTGCAAGATCCAATCCAGCACTTGAACAAGGTGTTTTCTCATAAAAGAGACCTCAAACGCCAGCTCTGTAGTTAAGGCTGCAAGGGCTCTTATAGTCTCAGCCAAGCTATAATTTGGAACCCTATCTCTGACCAATATGTCATTGCCTCAGGAAACCCTAAATCCTCCAAACCCCACCAAAGCCTCCTTTAGGTTTAAATTCTGAACTGAAGAAATCCTTAGGTTGTGGTAATTCTAATTGCTGAAAGGTGGCCTTTGTGATTTGTAGCTTTAAATACCTCCTTCTGCCAATTAGGTAGGGATTTAATTGTCACTGGAATCCTTTGTTACCACAAGAAACGACCTTGCCATAGATCCCTCCATTCAGGAGACTGAGAGAACCTGACATGGTTCCAAATGTTTGTGTATTGCCCCCAGTCCTGTGGCTTCACCATGAGAAACACCTCGTTGCTGAATTTGGATGGTCCAGTTCTTTTTTTTTTTTTTTTTTTTAAGATTTTAGTTTAGAGAGAGCGAGAGTATGTGAGCCAGGGGAGGGACAGAGGGAGAAAGAGAGAAGCAGACTCCCTGCTGAGCACAGAGCCTGACATGGGGCTTGATCCCAGGACCCCGAGATCATGACCTGAGCCAAAATCAAGAGTCTGATACTTAACCAAGTGAACCACCCATGCACCCCTGCCTGGCCTAGTTCTGGGCGGACCTCTATATCCTCTAAACCCTAATACCTGTAACAGTGAATATAAATTACTTAGGAGGTAATTCAACTATTATAATTGTTTTGCCTAGTTAGACGAAAGTTGGCATAAGGATACTTCTCTATTGAAAAGAACACAACCCTAGGAGGATAAATTTGTGGGTCAGAATATCAACATCTGTGTTAGTCTGGGTGGGCTGCCATAACCTATTGCCACAGGTTACACGGTTTAAACAACAGAAATTTATTTCCTCACAGTTATGAAGGCTTGGAAGGCTGAGCTCAAGGTGTCAGCAAAGTTGGTGTCTTCTGGACCAGCCCCTAATAACATCTAAAAAGAGATGCTACAGTATATCTCATCTCATCTCATCTCATCTCATCATAAAGCTTGGTGTTTCCCATTTAATTCTTCACAGTCGTCCTTTTAAAGGGCAATTATTTTATTTTTTCTTTTATTTTCATGCCACTTTCTCCTTGGGGGAATTAGAAAGTTGTCTTAAAGGGAAAACTGTTGTGGTCATGAACGTAATGGGCTTTTAGGTTACACGAAAACACAGAGCGTATTTGTCTCCCTTGCGTGAGCACGGTTTCTTTCACCTCACGTTCTTAGGCTTCGCTTCTGGAGTTGAAGGGGCGTGCCGCCTGCCCGTTTACCAGCCTGGAGCTCATTGACTGCAGGATGGATCTGTGGGCTCTCGGGAGACTTGGGAGGGCTCCGCCATGCAGCTGTCCGCGTTCTCTCATCCTCGATTACTGCAGGTGAGGCTGGAATGTGGGGTTCCCTCAGGGCTCCTGTTGCTGTCTGCTGCGGGAGGCAAAGCAGGGAGGGCGGTGGCCTGGCTCCTTGTGCCTCATCAAGTCATCGCTGAAAGGGGACGCTCCAAAACCTCCTTAGAGCTAATGTTCCTGAGTAAATGTCAGGGTTCTCAAAAAGAGGCTTTTTTCATTCACTTCTCCATCCATCCTCCCCTTCCTTCCTTCCTTCCTTCCTTTTTATTCATTCATTCGGTCAACAAATATTTGTCAATGGCCTGTTTGTGCAAGACACTGCTCTTTGCTAAGGAAGATACACACATATATAAGGCAATGCCACTGAGCAAGGAAGTCCTTGATATAGTAGAGGAGAGGCGACATGCTCTAGGTTACGTATAACGCAGGGTAGAAAGCCTGAATGTCACAAAAAATGTCCATGTAAATTTTAGTGGTTTGGATAAGGGGAACCCTGACCCCCTACGGGACAGGCCATTATTCAGCAGGAGCGGACGTGGGAGGACAGGCGTGGTACTAGGGGAAAGAGCCAGTCTTTCAGAGAGGGCTGCGGCACCAGGCTGTCTGGGGCGGGTCAGGGGGCGATGATGATGATGATGATATCAGCTAACTGTTATTGAGTGCTAACGGTGTGTCAAGCACAGTGCATGGCTTATCTCATTTATTCTCCCAACAACAGAGAGGTATGTACCATTACATATGGATGTAGGATATATAATGACAGATATGTACCATTTCCATCCTTTGACTCTGTATAGATGAGGAAAGACTCAAGGGGATTAACTGGCTTGTTCAAGGCCATTCACCTCTTGGGGACGGAACCTAGATGTGAATCCAGCCATCTGAATCCGAGCCCACTTCTGATCTGTGATACTAGATTGCTGGGGGCGTCTATAGTGTGCCATCCATAAATAATTTCAACCTGCTTGTGTGATGTGCGATAGGTCATGCAACCTCTCTGATCTATGAGATGATCTCTTCCACTTCTCAGGTCTTTGATTCTGAGACTCTTCCCCTGGAACCTGGTGCTACCTTATACTCAGAAGGCCAGTGGGCTGTGAGGTGAAAGAGCTGATTCATGCCTGAGAAGTGGTACCACCGCAACACAAAGACCCCATTAAGGAACTAGGGTCTTATTAGGGCCCTGGTTGTGACCGTGGACAATTCTATCGGCAAAAAGCTGGGGAGAGGGACTGTCTCTGGAGGTTCTCTGTGTTTCTGAGGTGCTTGGAGGAGCCTCAGTTAGGGTTTCCTAACACAGAACAGCAGAAGTCCAGTGTCCTCAGGATACCCTGCAGTGACTTAGGATCAGCCTGGGAGTCTCCCAGCTTCCCACACTGCACTGGGCAGAACCAGCCCCTCTGCTGAGACCCTTCTAGACTCCAGCTCCTGCGCTGGACCCAGAGACCTGCACTGGCAGGAAGACAGAAGGAAGAAAAAAGGAATCCCCATTGTTAGGAAACAGCTTACTTTATTTTTTTTTTTTAAGATTCTATTTATTTATTTGACAGAGAGAGAGAGAGCACAGCACAGGGAGGGGTAGAGGGAGAGGGACAAGCAGACTCCCCGCTGAGCAGGGAGCCTGACACGGGGCTCGATCCCAGGACTCTGAGATCATGACCTGAGCTAAAGGCAGATGCTTAACCGACTGAGCCACCCAGGCGCCCCCACAGCTTACTTTATTTTTAACAGATTTTATTTATCTGTTTAGAGAGAGGGGGAGGGAGAGAGAGAATCTCCAGCAGACTCTGCGCTGAGCCAGGAGCCCAAAACAGGGCTCCATATCAGGACCCTGAGATCATGAGCTGAGCCAAAATCAAGAGTTGGATGCTTACCCGACGGAGCCACCCAGGTGCCCCAGGAAATAGCTTATGTTCATCATCCGTTGAAATCCTCCTATTGCCAAGACACCTAGAGTTGCCAGGGTTGGGTGGTTGGGAGTCACCACTGAGACCTCAACACTGGTAAAAGAGCAGGCTACCGGCCTCTGGGGACTTCCCTCCGCTTTTCGCTGTGAGGCTGTGAAGTCCAGCAGGCAGGACGCCCTTCTTTCTCATACACAGCTGCATCCCCACACCCACCACAGTAGCCGCCTTCGCTAACCACTTGTTGGCTGAACTAGTAAATTTAAGAAGTTACTTCTGTTAATACGTACCTCATTTGAAAGTTCAGCCACTGACATTCCAAATTCCCTGAAGACATCCCTCTACCTCACTGTTGCTCAGTTTCCTGACCTAATGCCTATTCCCAGAGGCTGTGTTGGCATGATGCCTGCGACTTCTCTTTGCAAAGTCGAAGGACTAGGTGATACAAGGCGAGGAGCAGCCCAGGGCCAGGAAGGAGGGCCAAGAGGCTGAACTTCCCTGAAACCTGCTCTGGACGTACTTTAAAGGCTCCCTCCTTACGCAGCCTGCTGCTGCTGGGGTCTTCCCAGACACTTTCATCCCTGCCAGCCGGGCAATCTCTCCTGTCTTCAGGATCCAGAGCTTGCTCTCTATCTGCTCCTTTGCATGGGTACTTCAAACCGTGCTCTGCTCCCTTTGCCCAGGAGGCAGATTCTGGGTCCCCCTTCCTCCACATGCAGGCTGCCCTCCTCAGTCACCCAGCTCACCCCCATAGCCTGCCCCGGCCGTGGAAGCTCATAGTATGGATCAGTAAAAGTCTGAGCTGTCCTAGGGAGTCCCTTAAAATGAATAATCCAACAGGTGACATAGGTTTTAAAAGTCACTAATGTGTTCCTGTCATTTCTTTCTAGACTTGGAAGTGAAGAAATTGAGAGTATTTTCTCAGGCCTGGAGAACAACCAAAGGCTTCAAGCCCTCAGTCTGCGCTACTGTGGTCTGGGGCCACAGAGCGGGCCATGGCTGGGTGTCATCATATACCACAGCTCCATTTGGCGAGATGCATCCCCTGCTCGCCTCCTGCCTCTGGCTCTGTTCTGTCTTGAGTTATATAACCAGCTGAATTACAAAATCCATTAACCCATGATTTCCCCTGACTTTTCACTACATTAGTTATTTTGTCTTCTTTTTCTTAATTATAAGAGAAAGATCCTTTAGTTACATTTGAGAATCAAGGGTATTGTGCTATATGCATGTTTTTGGCCCGATGACATGGTCACTAGGTCTATTTTTTGCAATATGATCTGTTATCTATTATGATTATTTATTTATTAGTATATAACTAGGTCTATTATTTTATGAGGTGAAGACCTCAAATCCAAATTTGCGGAAGTGAAAATAACATCGAATGTACGATGTATTTCACCCCTCCCCAGTGAGCTGCACCTTGACGGCAATTACTTACAGTGTTCTGGGGCTCTGAGTCTCCTCAGACCTGTAGCCGAGTATGCAAAGACACAGGGGAGAGAGCAGCCGGCCACATCCCCACCAGACCCCGGGAGTCCCCCTCAGCAGCTACAGGGTAAGTGCCAGGGATCTGGGCCCTACACTCTCTGGGGCTACCTGTAAGAAAGAAACGGCTTTGCATTTAAAAATGGCCTTCCCTGTGGTCAGTGGAAATGCTTCTTGCTGAGTATGAGTGAGAGCAGAATAATGGACCCCCAGCAATGTCTTTGTCCTAATCCTCAACCGGTGATTACATTACCTCACCTGGCAATTGGAACTGTGCAGATATGATGAAATTAAGGGCCTTGAGATGGAGGTTTATCCTGGATTCTCTGGGTGGGTCCAGTGTCATCACAGGATCTTTGCAAGAGGGGGGGGGGCAGGAGGGTCAGAGCCAGAGAGATGAAGATGTGACCATGGAAGGAAAGGTTGGAGGGATGCTGGAAGGGGCCAGCAGCCAAGGAATGTAGATGGCCTCGAGGAGCTGGGAAGGGCGGGGCAAGGAATTCTTCCCCAGAGCCACTAAAAGACACACGTCCACCAATGCCTTGACGGTGAGACCCATTTTGGACTTTGGACCTCCAGATCTGTAAGGTCATAGCCTTGTATTGTTTTAAGCGACTAAGTTTAAGGTCATTTGTTATAGCAGAAGCGGGGAACTAAGACAGCATGTTAATCAGAGCTCTTCAGTTAAAAGTGAAAGCAACCCAAACAGAATTCAAGGTTAATAGGGGCTTATTGGGGCACCTGGGTGGCTCAGTTGGTTAAGCGACTGCCTTCGGCTCAGGTCATGATCCTGGAGTCCCGGGATCGAGTCCCGCATCGGGCTCCCTGCTCAGCAGGGAGGCTGCTTCTCCCTCTGACCCTCCCCCCTCTCATGTGCTCTCTCTCTCTCTCACTCTCTCTCTCAAATAAATGAATAAAAAAAAAATAGGGGCTTATTGGCTCACATAACTGGGACGTCCACAGCTGTCTTCAGAGATAGCTGAATTCGGGGGCTCAGATGATGTCATCAGGAGACCCTGAGTTTGCTGCTCTTCCCTCGACTTCCCTTCTGAGCGTGGGCCTTCTCTCCCAGTGCGGTCAGCCTTCCTCCAGGCAGGAAAGAGCAGTTGACACATCTGTCAGCAGTCCCAGGGCTATATCTTTGTGACTTCCAATCAGCCAGGAAGTGTGAACCTCTGTCTCCCAGTGACTGTGGGTCAAATCCCCCGGGAAGGCTCTCACTGGCCCTCCCTGGGTCACATACATACCTGTCAGACCAGTCCCTACAGCCCCGGATGTGCTAAACCGCAATTGGCCAGGACTGATCACACACCCCACTGGGGGAGGAGTGGAGCATTCTGATGGGCAGCCAAACCAGAGCCCCATGATTTGCTGGGGAGCAAAGTGGCAGCCCCTCAAAGAAGTAAATGGATGAGAAGGACAGATACAGGACAGACAAGAACAACAGCTGCTTACTCCCTTATAAAAGGCTTATCATTTGTTTTAATAGATCCCTAATACACATGTTTATGGCACATTTTAAAGCTGACTACTTTTAATCATTGTTAACAGAAACTATAGCAAGTGGCTAATAGCACAGACTTAGAATCAGGTCTGGGTTCAAATCCTACCCCAGCTGTGCATTAGGTTGGGCAAATTTTCAAATTGATCTGACTTTAGCTTCTTGAGCTACAAAATAAACGTAACTACCCCATAGTGTTTAGTGAGAAGGAAGTGGTGTAATGTGATGCAGTTAGCATGATGCCTGGCACATCGTAAGTACTTGAGGGACATTAATTATCATCATCACCATCGTCATTATAACAACAACCTTTTCCCAGAGAGTAAACTTGAGGCATGTTGGTGAACGCAGTCACTCTACGTGCTGGAAAAAATGAAGATAAAGAGCTCAAGGCCTGTGCAGCATGGGGACCACTGTGAAATATACCGTATTGTATATTTGGAAGTTGCAGAAGGGCGCCTGGCTGGCTCAGTTGCATGTGACTCTTGATCTCAGGGGTTGTAAGTTCGAGCCCCACATTGGGTGGAGAGATTACTTAAAAAATAAAATCTTCAAAAGAACAAGTTGCTGAGAGAGTAGATCTTAAAAGTTCTCATCACAAGAAACAAAATTTGTGACCATGTGTTGTGATGGACGTTAACTAACTCACAGTGGTGAACATTTCACAATATATACAAATATCAAGTCATTATGTTGTACGCCTGAAACTAATATAATGTTACATGTTAATTTTATCTCAATAAAAAAAGGATTCACTGACTTGTGCTATTAAAAAAAAAAGAGCTGAAGTCAAGGCTACTTTGTGGAAGTGAGTGCAAAGAACTTGTAACTATGGGAGATTCGTAAATAACAAGAGTTATCCTCCATTTAGGAACTTTCCTGGCATCAGAATTCTATAGGTTATTTGTTGAATTTGATATTTCAGTCAACCCAATAAATATACAAAAGGAAGCTGGAAAACATGTTTGCTATCCAAATATGACTTTCCCTCTGCTCTTTCTATCACCAATTTGTAAAAAGCCACAGTCCTATTTATGAAGTCCTATATTGTAATTTCAGGGCCAAAATAACCAAGTGAATCTCTGATTTTTAAGAAAAATAATTGGAGGGGTGCCTGGTTGGCTCAGTTGATTAAGCACCTGACTTCGGCTTAGGTCATGATCTCAGGGTCCTGGGATCAAGCCCCCGCCCCACACGGCCTTCAGCAGGGAGTCTGCTTGTCCCTCTGCCCCTCCCCCCACGTGTGTGTGTGTGTGTGTGTGTGTGTATGTGCGCGTGCGCACACGCTCTCTCTCCCTCTCTCAAATAAGTAAATCTTAAAAAAAAAAAAAGAATTGGCAATATAAAAGCAGTGTCTCAAGGGATTGGTATGTGGCAGGCAGGACCAGGTGTGAGGTGTGGGATTGGAAAGACGAAGAAGTGACAAGGACGTGGGGAGGAAACGTGGAGGTCTCCTATTCTGTTTGTTCTAAGTGCTTTCTGCCCAAAGGAGCATGAAAGCTTGATTTTAAGGGTTCTGGATTTGATTTCCTAGGGAGCCAAACAAGCGAGGGTCAGCGCCGACCTCAGCGAGCACCTGCCCTGTCATTCTTCACAGCCACCCGGGACAGGGTGGAAAAGCCGCTCCAGCTGGGCTGGGCCCTGTGGTCAGTGGTCCTCACACACAACCTCTTTGAAGTTCCTCTCCCTATTCGTTCACTTGAACCTTGATTTTTAGGCAGGTCAGCTGGTACATTTTAGCTCTTCTGCATTCTTTTGGGTAACTGTATTAGTCTGCGCTGGCTGCCATAACAAAATAACATAGGCTGGGTGGCTTAAACAGATTTATTTTTGCGCAGTTCAGGAAGCTAGAAGTCCCAGATCAGAGTGCTAGCGGATTCTGTTCCGGGTGAGAGCTCTCTTTCTGGCCTGAAGAGGGCGCCCTCTTGCTGTGTCTTCACGTGGCCTTTCCTAGGTGTGTGTAAGCCCAGGGAGACAAAGATCCCTCTAATAAGAACACTAATCCTATCCGATCAGGGTCCCACCCTTATGACCTCCTGTAACCTTAGTTACTTCCTTAGGGGCCCCATCTCTAAATACGGCCACGCTGGGGACTCAACATATGAATATTTGGGGAATACAAACATGTAGTCCGTACTAGTAATATACATACCTGCACAGAGTAAAAGTACCTTCTATCTCAGAACTGGACTGATACACCTCTGCTCAGGCACAGGGCAGGGAGGCCTATTGGGAGGCTGTTGTCATCTAGTGAGAGATGATGGGGGGAGGTGAGAGAGGGGTCTACCCAAGTGAGACTGGGGCAGTGGCAGAGGAGGTCAGGTTCCACATCTGTCCCATTTCCTGATGCTTGGGATGTGGGGTGCAAAGAAAGGAAAGGAAGGGTCTAGAATGACTCTAGAATGATAACATACTAATATATATTTTAAAGTTTGCCAAAAATGTGTTCCTCTCTGCTACATTCTTACAAATCTCAGAGATTTGGAACCACTTTTATAGAGGGCAGCTGTGGAATGTAGAGCATTTACATGAGGCCTTTTAGGACGATACTTGGGGCCTACTTGGTTGCATGTGATCCTTAAGCCTTTGAAGAGAGAGCAACATGAAATAGACAGGACTGAACTGAAGCGAATGGGATTTGACAATGGGTCGGATGATCCTCTCATGAGAAATGTCTCTGCCCAAAGTGTACATAAAACGAAGGAAATAATCAATAGCAAAGTGTGCAAAACCCATTCACACAACTTTGAACAGGCTTTTTTTTCCTTATCTTTTTCTTTTCCACACAGCCAAACAGAGGGGAAGTTCAACTTTGAACCAGATTACAAAGTCACCTGGAGCTCTAACAGGGAAAACTACTTCAGGGAAGGAGAGGAGAAAAAAAGGTATTGGGTTGTTGCGTCAGCTATCCCTTCATCTTCCTTTATCTGTCAATCACTTCCTCCTTTCATGGGCTGTGTGGTCCCGCTACTACAGTAATTACCCCAAAGAGAAAAACTATGGAGAGAAAGAAGAGCGGGTGTCTTATGGTTTCCTACAAACCAAACACAGAACAGCTTAGCCATATCCACCAGAGGAATTTGTCTTTGGCACATGCAGCAAGCCCAAATCGATTATGGGGTGTAAGCTGGTTTGGGAATGCCTCTGCAGTAAACAGCCAGCAGGACCTGATAAATGCTGCTTGGAGACTGCTTAGACTCAGAAACAGAGTCCTTTAGAGGCGGTTTTAAGAAATCACCAACACCAAAACCTCTGAGCAGGATTACATGAAATGAGAAGCTATCCAAGTCTATTTTTTTAAATATTTATTTAAGTAATCTCTACACCAGTGTGAGGGCTCGAACTCACGACCCTGAGATCCAGAGTTGCACGCTCCTCTGACTGAGCCAGCCAGATGCCCCGAGAAGTTATCCAAGTCTTAAAGGTTTAGAGCCAAGTGTTAGGGAAGCCAGGTTCTCCGCCCAGCACTTGCCCCGGGGCCCGTTGCCTCAGCATCCTATTCTGCAAATCGAGGAATTTGCGCTCACAGCTTCCTAAATCCCACTCCAGCTTTAACATGTTGAGGTTAGGGCGCCTGGGTGGCTCAGTCATTAAGCGTCTGCCTTCGGCTCAGGTCATGATCCCGGGGTCCTGGGATCGAGCCCCGCATCGGGCTCCCTGCTCCGCGGGAAGCCCGCTTCTCCCTCTCCCACTCCCCCTGCTTATGTTCCCTCTCTCGCTGGGTCTCTCTCTGTCAAATAAATAAGATCTTTTTTAAAAAAAAACGTGTTGAGGTTATAAAGACACAGCACAAGATGATAATTAGATATGTCATGAACACAGCCTTTGGAGAACCCTTTGTGGAGGCTAACCTAAATTTGTGTTGTTGGTTTTTTTAGTCCATTTTATTTATTTTTCTCTGTACAACTCGTGTGTGAAAGGTGACAGGCCCTTGTGATGTAGCTCTTCACCCTTTGCCTTTTTCTTCCTCAGTTTTAATCTGTTTTTGTGTGGTGTGGTCTTTTTCCTGCCCTTGAATTATCCTTGTAACTCCTCTGTGAAATCTCCCTGAATTAGATAAATACAGATTCCTATGATCTAAAAAGCCAACTGAAAATGTAAAGGGAGACAATTTATCAGACCTGTCTCTGTCGTCTGGTATAAATACAGTCTTTCCACTGGATAGTGCTAGTAGATTTTGGAAAATCTACTAAAAGAAAAAAAAAAAAGAACTGTGCTAGGTTTATCATTTGTTTTAGACAGTTACCATTTGGGGATATTTTCAACCAAAAATCCTTTCAGAGGAGTTGGTTGGGGTTCCTGTGAGGAGAAGGATGATCATTGTCTCCAAGGCAGGTGGCTGTCCAGAGGACAGTCCTTACAACGGGCCAGATGACGTCTGAGGGCAGAGGACGGCTGGGTCACTAGTCCTAACTCTGCATTAGACCTAGGAGCAAGTGGTAAGTAGGACAAAGACTGAATGTGTGCATCATTCTGTGCGGGTACCTTGGCATTGCAGGAAGACCAAAAGGCCAAAATCTGTCTGGGAACTTCAAGGCTTCTCAAGGCTAGAGAGAAGCTCTGGACACTATTTGTTGAGTCTCCCTGATTAAAAAAAAAAAAAAAATTAATGGCAAAGAAAATTAAAGAAATTGCATAATACTTTAAGTCGTTCTGTTTAACAAGCTAACACTTCTAATACATACAAAAACACAGAATGCATGCACAGCTTCAGTAGGCAATGACAGCAGAGTCTAAATGTAGTCGTGAATGATTCCACCTGTGTGCTACCCCCCACACCCGCCCCCCGCCATGTAGGCCCTGGAGATATTAAACCCCCATAGAAGGTAGATAGTTTGGGAAAAGTCAAAAAGAGAACAGTACACCTGTTCATCCTTCAGCTTTTAAATGATAGCCATGTTGAGGCCTAGGTCCCAATAATACCTTTCAGCTGTTAAAACCCGGCACAAAAAATATCAGACTTGCCTCTTTTGACCTTCAACAACAGAAGTACGTTGTGTCACAGTCCTGGACCCTGGAAGTCAAGATCAAGATGTTGGCAGGGTTGGTTCCTTCTGGAGGTTCTGAGGGACAATCTGTTCCTTGTCTCTCTCCTAGCTTTTGGTGGTGTTTCCTGGCTTAGAGATGCATCACCCGGACCTTTGGCTTCATGTTCCCCAGGCGTTCTCCCTGTGTGCGTCTGTGTCTAATTTTTCCCTTTTTATAAGGACATCAGTCATACTGGATTAGGGGCCCAGTCTAGGCCAGTATGACCTCATCTTAACTAATCACATGTGCCATGACCTTGTTTCCAAATAAGGTCACATTCGGAAGAACTGGGAGTTAGGACTTCAACACAGGAATTTTGGGAGGGAACACAATTCAACTCAACGAGGGGGCTCAGAATGTAGTTTATAAACAGGATGCACACCTAGGAAAAGAAATAAACACACAAGGCAGCATCTGCCAAGGGCCAAACATGGACACTGGGTTCCGAGAAAGGCATCCTTCCCCAAGGATGGAACCAGGGCGAAGGCTCTGTGAATGAGCTAGGAGTTGATGTGTGGGAAGAAAGGACTTACAGGTGGAAGGATTTAAGAGAGGAGAGAGGGCTTAACAATGCAAGCCCACAAGCCTACAAAGTTTAGCTGGAACCAGAGGATGTGGGAGGGTAGGCCTGGCAAAGAGGGTGGGTCACATTAAGGAAGACTTTGTAAGTCAGGCCAAGAGTTGGGACTTAATCCAATAGGCAATGGGAGCCATTAAAGTCTTTTTTGTCTCCCCAGGGATCCTGTAGGAAAAGCCTGTATCTAATACATACTTATTTTATAGCTTATTGTCAGAGCAGACCATTTTCATGCTTTCCAGAATTCACAAAGCAGGTCAAACAAACAAACAAACAAACAGCTTCCCACACTGGATAATTATTTTCACAATCATAAGGTGTTTGGTTGGGGGTGAGTTTGGTTTTTGGTAGAAAAGTTCTACTTGTTTCAAAATAAAGGGTCAGATTGAGCTGATTTATATCAACCTCTTGAGGGTGGAGTGCAGATGGTTTCCATTTGGTCCCAATTGGAAACAGCCAAACTATTTTTATGCTTGTCCCTTTGTGGACAGGAGGCTTTGGCCTGATGCTTGGGAAGTTCAACTCATAATCTGTATGAGTCAAAACCCCCATTCAGAAGCCTGACACCCTTTATTATTCTTCCTCAAATGTACAATTACAAAAACCTGACAATTTTACATTTAGCAACCAGTTGTAAGTGGATAGAAGAGACGTATTCCATTTCGATGCCTGCAGAATTTAGACATCAGTTTGTCCAAGTCAGTCCTGCCTCAAAGCAGCACTGAACATGAAGATTCATTAGATCAGTGGTTCTCAAACACGAGCAGCAGCAGAAATACCCAGAAGGCTTATTAAAGTGCAGATTGCTGGGCCCTGCCCCCACAGACTGCTGGATCTATAGGTGGAGGTGAGGCTGGAAAGCTTGCATTTCTATCAAGTGCCCCAGGGATGTTGATGCTCTTAGTCCAGTGTCCACACTTTGAGAACCACTGCTTTAGAATTAAAAGAAAATCAGATTATCTACTCTTTTTTTTTCTTTTTTTTCAAACTGAGGCTTCTTAGATTATCTACTCTTGTTTTATTTTGCTCAGTGAAGAAAATTAGAGGGCAGAGTGATGCTCCTAGATGCCTCTTCTCTGTGAGGAAGACCACAGAACAGAGGGGGCACAGGCCTGAGTCTGCCTCTAGCTTCTCTGTCTCTTCCAGATCCAGTCCAGCCCATGTCTGAGCCCCATGGCTCTGTACCAGGAGTCCGTGGGAATTAGGGACCCTGGGTCTAGAGGGTGATTAACACTCAAGAGAGGAGGTCAGGCCCGGCCGATGCCTAGTCACAAGCCTATCAGGCCCATAAAGAGCCAGAAGATGGCTTAACACCGGAGGTCACTGAACGGTCATCAGGAATAGTCATCTGCAGCTTCCCTGGGCCCCATTCAGCCAGTCCTGCCATGTCACCTCAAGGCCCCAAAAGTTCCTGAAAGACTCAGCAAGGACTCAGGCATGTCCTGTCACCTGGGCCTACTCTGTTCCCGGCCCAAATTCCACACCACAGGTCCTAGGATTGTCTTAATTCTCAAGGATTTAGGACTGGGAGGGCCAGTATATGACTTAGACATATATTGGGAGCAAAATCCAACCATAAAATGGTCAGTTCCACAAGCTTGGGATCAATCAGACCTTTGCTACGGCACCAAAGCCACCCAAGTGCCAAATTCACTTCCCCAAATAAGGCATTAATTGCTTATAACACAGCCATGGTCCATAGGAATATTATGGCATTAAAGAATGCAAGGGTCGAGTTCAAAAGACAAGATGTAATCTTCAAAACAGCTTTATTAGTTCCAAATCAGGAAGTTACCGATTATAATCCTGAGATTATTTTACTTGGGGATTTTATCCTGGAGTGATAGCCAAACAATGGACCTTTGTGGACAGGTTCCAAGGTCCAAGGTGTGAATCATCCAACACTAATTACACTTTGCTTCCTTTAGTCCTGCAATCAAGCTAACAGAGCTTCTGTTCTGGTTTGTAAATGTTCGGTAATTACACAGGAAATCACACATGTTCCTTGTTGATGGAAAGAAGCTATTTTGAACAAGTGTTTTTGGTTTTTTAAAATGTACTTATTTGAGAGAGAGAGTGTGCATGTGAGCACGTGCAGGGGGAAGGGGCAGAAGGAGAAGGAAAAGCAGACTCCCGGCTGAGCAGGGAGCCCGACCCGGGACTCGATCCCAGGACCCGGGGATCATGACCTGAGCCGAAGCAGACACTTAACTGACTGAGCCACCCAGCGGCCCCGAGCAAATGTTTTTAAAAAATCAACCTTATTAAGAAGAAGGTCCTACCAGGACCTGGCATCCACAGTTGGACATTTGAGTAGTCCTTAAGCAAAATAATCCGATGTCCAACAGAATGTGTGATGTCCACCTGTTCTGGTGGTCCCAGGAGAGGCCAGAAAGTGAGGGAGAAGATGAGGAACCTCTCCGGAGGAACTTCTGGTTCCATGAAAATTTAAACCTGGCCTATGAGTGCTGGCCCACACAGGAAATAGAGCTGTCTCTGGAAGGACTGAGAAGAGGTTCATCAGCTGAGAAAGAGGGCATTCTAGGAAAAAGGGGATCACCTGGCAAAGGGTCAGGAGGTGGAAGTGCCCAGAGTGTCCAGTGTATGGGGAGTTTGACGTTCGCTGCAGTGGTCATCGGGAGAGTGGCAGAGGTATAACTGAAAAGGCCAGTGGACCCACTTGGCCCAAAGCCATGAATGCTGCTGAGTTAGGCTTTCTCCTGGGTGCAAAGTGGGAGCCACGATTCCTCTGAAACAAGACAGTGACATGATGAGAATTGGATTTTTGGAAAGAACCTTGGACGGCATTGCACAACATGTCTTAGAAAGAGGGACATCTGGATGATGGGAGACCAGTTTGGAGGCTATTACAGTAGCTCAGACAAGAGAAGATAAAAGGCAGAACGAAGAGTGCAGTGATAGATAGTCCAGATATATTGAGGAGGGAAATCTGACAGGTCCCGATAGCCCGTTCAATGAGGGTGGTAAGAAAGACTGTTAGGGACAATTGGGGCATCTTGGCAATTAACTGAAGAGAAAATGGGAAGAGACACAGGGTTGGGTGAGTCCATATGGGTCTGTGGAGTGGGTTCTAGGGGAGGTGTGCTGTTGTCAGAAATACTCGTCTGATCCTCGGGAGGCAGTGGCAGAAGGGGAGACACCTTTCTTCCCCAGGGTGCTCTCATTCCAGTGTTTCAGTGACTTACAATATCCAGAAATGAAGCTGAGAAGACAGGCAATAATATTTATTGTGTACTAAGTTCCTTCACAACCCGTATTTCACCATGCTTCCCAGTTGATCTTCACAGTGCCTCTAGGAAATGACTTTTATGATCTCTATTATAGCAATGAGGAAATTTGGGTTCAGAGAAGTTAAGTGACTTTCTGGGGAGTCACAGCATTTTTTAGAGAGAGGTTTTGCTCCCAGAGATTCCGCTTTCTCTATACCATGCTGCCTCTTGGGCAGAACTGGCACTGCTATGCCACCACTAAGTTCTCAGAGAAAGAGGGGATAAATTAAAGTAGTCATTGTCAGGGTGCCTGGGTGGCTCAGTCAGGTAAGTGTTGGACTCTTGATTTCGGCTCAGGTCCTGATCTCAGGATTGTGAGGTAGAGCCCCACCCTGGGCCCCGAGTCAGGCTGCTCCGCGTCGGGCTCTGTGCTGGGTGTGGGGCCTGCTTAAGATTCTCTCTGCCCCTTCCCTTGTCTCTCTCCCTCTCTCTTTAAAAAAAAAAAAAAAAGTAGTCATTGTCAGTGAGCTTGTTTTTGTTTTAAAGAAGTGTTAAGATTAAGTAAAAATAGGTTGGGGTGAATACAGCTGGGGTGGATCAAGTATTACCAGGGGCTGAGCATGTACTCACTCCGAGGAATTTGTTTTCGATTGAGAGAAAAGAATTTGGTTCTGTTTGAATTTTGGATGCAGGCCCAAAGCAGGAAATCCCTGTACTAAGCAGCGTCAGCCTTCCTACCATCTAACAGGGCACCATGACTCACTACATTCTGCAGGATGGTTTGGACTTGCACTTCCCAAACAGGTTATTTTTCATGGGCAAAGATGACATTGCAACCTTACTTAACACCAATTGGAGGGAGATTTGGGTGGTTTCTCCCCATGGGAATGCAAGTTGTACCAGGCCAGTCACGGACCCAGAAGCTCCCTGTCTCTCCAGTGACACACATTTGTGCCGCGCTGGCTGGAGTTGGTGGGGTGGCAGGGGTAGACTGGCAGAAACCAAGTTTCTTTCCTTGCAAAGCTCAGCAACTGCACAGGAATTTGGCCTTTGGCCTTGGCCCTGCTGGCCTCACGTTTCATCACCTCTGCTTTCTCGCAAAAAGAAACGAGTGCCACGTGCGATCAGTATCCACATCATTAATCATTCTGAGCAGAAGAGCTTTTCAGAGGCATTTATATTTGCAAAGAGAGTTCATAAATAGAAAAGACATATTCTATTCCTGTTCATGAATGGTCTCAAGGCGTTATTAGGTACACGATACATGGAAAACCAAAGAACAGTGAGATAAAAGTTTCCACAAAATGATTGCATTCTGCACCCGATTATTCACTGATTCATTCATGTGTTCAACAGTTACTAAACACCCACAATGTGCCAGAGACTGTTCTAATTTATTAGCACTGTCAAATTATTCATAACAGCTGTCATTTGCCGTCATTCCCATGCCCTGGATGTAAGAACCAATACATTTGGACAAGTTAGGTTTGTTCCCAATGAAACTAAATGATGGGCTGGGATTCATCCCTCCAACTGTGTTTTGAAGGAAAATCCTGTCTATTTTATTCAACAATCTAGCAGATTACATTTGTAACCAAAGAAACCGATTGAATCTCTTTTTAAAGCACGCTTTTTTTTTTCTTAAAGATTTTATTTATTTATTTGACAGAGAGAGACACAGAGAGAGAGGGAACACACGCAGGGGGAGTGGGAGAGGGAGAAGCAGGCTTCCCGCTGAGCAGGGAGCCCGATGAGGGACTCGATCCCAGGACCCTGGGATCATGACCTGAGCCGAAGGCAGACGCTTAATGACTGAGCCACCCAGGCGCCCCATTTTTTTTTTTAACTGGCAAACTAGAATGGCCCAAAGTCCCGATTTATCACCTTTCCCTAAAACGTCAGTTCTCTTTCATGACTTGAAAACTTATACTTGGTTATCATTGACTCTCCTCTCTTCCTTGCTCTTCCTGTACACTAGTTAGCATTCACTTCATGTCAGCTTCAGAAGGGCAGGTAGTGGGCACCTGGGTGGCTCAGTTGGTTAAGCGACTGCCTTCGGCTCAGGTCATGATCCTGGAGTCCCGGGATCGAGTCCCACATCAGGCTCCCTGCTCAGCAGGGAGTCTGCTTCTCCCTCTGACTCTCTTCCCTCTCGTGCTCTCTATTTCTCATTCTCTCTCTCTCTCAAGTAAATAAATAAAAAAATCTTTAAAAAAGAAGGGCAGGTAGTTTTGTTTCTTTTGTTCCCTGTTGGGTTCCCAGCACTTCGGACAGTGCCTGGCATATAGTAGAGCTCAGAAATATTTGTTGAGTGCTGAATGAATTCAAGTACAAAAGGGTCCTGTCTACTCCTTGGGATTAGGTTCTCAAGTCAGCCTATTAGGCAAAATTAGCATACAGCTCAGTGATTTTTCACAATCCCTTAAACTGCCCACACAATAAACATATAGGTATATGATTTCTAAGTCCCAGGCGGTTTCTTGCCAGCTTGGGAGCAGATCATTGTTTGTCAGTTAAGCTCCAGATGAAGGAGTCAGCTAGTGTTGAGGGGGTTATATTGCACACAAAGCATATAACTTCGAATACTTGGAGGCCTTTCGGAAGCCATCTGGCTTTGGGACCAGATTCAGATCTCTCATCTCACACCTACTGAGTCTGTCTCCATCCCCCTCCTGTCTTTTTCTTTGCCAAACTCCTAAACTTGAACTGGTATAGATTAAATGTGTACATATGCCATGCCACAGCACTGACACTGAACCTTACGAAATGGGGGTGAATCAGACTGCAGGTCCACTGACCTCAGTTGGGAAGTCTACAAAGGCAAGATGGTTCTTCCTCCTTCAAATTTGCCTTTCCAGAGCTCAAAAAATGTGACAACTTTGCAGGCTCTTTTAAAGAGCTGAATCCCTGGATAAAGACTATCATTTCCCCAGGGTCAGTGGACAACTCATTTATCTTCTACCAGGAAATTTCTAAAGACATTGATTTTCCTCTTTAGCCAAAGTAAAGGCAACAATCTAAATCTTAAGTGAGATTCCCTTTCATACAGAGCATTTTGAGGCTTGCTATTGTAAAGAATAAAGTATTTTTTTAAAGGACTTCTTAAATTGTATGTATTTCCTTCACTATATTGCAAAATATATCTACTCACGCAAGTCAAATAAGTACAATCTTAAAAAATAAAATCAACTTAGCTGGTGGTAAATGGGGGAGCTATTGTCTAAAAATAATAAAATACTATTATTTTCTTATAGGAATCAAGAAAATTAAAGATTTGACTGATACTGGTCCTTGGTTAGTGAAATTGTATTTGGCAGATAATGGCATAGACGGAAAAGGAAAAGAAGGAGAAAATGGCTTGCTGGAATTCACTCAAATTTTAACATGGTGAGTAGAAAAGAGGTTTTATTTGTTCACCTTCTAAAACTAGGTGCTAGGGTTAAATTATAGGGACAGTGATTTAATTGCAATTTATTAACAGGGCCAAGCAAAGTTTTCAGCTCTGAGAGGGAAGCAGTGACCCACTTTGGTCTTGGTATGTGATCTTAATGGGAAGACCTGAAATCACAAAAATGGCATGGCAGATGGTTGTATATGAGCCCACAAAGGGGCCCCAAAGACCTCACTAGAAGCCCTATTTAATGAAGTTGGCAACTGAGGAAAGGCAGGAGTTATGACCTCCAGATTTTCCTTCCCTGAAGTCAGCTATGTGACCTAAGGAAGAAAGGCAGTCTACTCAAGAGTGAACACTGTTTTGTTTTTGATTACAAAGTTGTCTCAACCTACTTAGGCAGAAAGAGCTTTTCTCAAAAGCTTCTGGAAAACAGACTATTTCCTTACCATATTTATGCTGCAACCTTGGACAGCTCTTTACCCAGCTGTCCTGAATCCCATACCCAGTGGGCTAAACCACAAGTGAGCGTTTGCAGCACTCTGTGACCTAAGGAAACCTTGTTCAGTAGAGGGCTCCAGGTTATACCATCTTAGACATCAGTACTTACAGCCCCTTAGGGCAATCAAGGGCAACAGAACATAGCTAACATTTGAGAGTTGAGAGCTTGATTGATGGCTATTTATTATTTTAGAAGAAAAAGATTCTTTTTCTAATATATTTCTGTATTTAGGGAAGTTGGGAATTTCCAACTTGGATAGCTTGGCTGCTATTTTTATAATAGTTATATTAATAAACTTCACATTATTACCCTTTTAATATATTGCTAGATTTAATACATTGCTGATATATTATCCTTTTAGTATACTGCTAACATTTTGTTAAGGGTTTTCACATCTGTGCTCATCAGGGATATTGGTCCCTACTTTTCTTTTCTTGTAATGTTTTCCTCTGGTATTGGGATCAAGGTGATTTTGGCCTTACAGAATGAGTTAGGAAGTGTTCCCTCCTTTTCTATTTTATGAAAGAACTTGTATAGAACTGGCACTATTTTATCTTTAAATATTTGGTAGAATTCACCAGTGAAGACTTCTGGACCTGGAGTTTTCTTTATGGGAAGATTTTTTAACTACAAATTCAATTTCTTTAATAGATAGAAGGTTATTCTGGTTATTTTGGGAGGGAGTTGTTAAGTTTTGGTAGTTTATATCTTTCAAGCAATTTGTTCATTTTGGCTAAGTTTTCAAATTTATTGTCTTAAAGTTATTCATATTTCCTTCTCTTCCTTTTCCTATCTGGAGGATCTGTAGTGATGTCTCCTCTTTTGTGCTTAATATCGATAACTTGTTCTCTCTCTTTTTTTCCAAATCAATATGACTAGAATTTTATCAGTTTTACTGATCTTCTTAAAGAACTTGCTTTTGATTACCTCTAATGTTTTAATTTTTTCAATTTCATTGATTTATACTCTTTATTATTTCCTTTATTCTGTTTATCTTGGGTTTAATATGCTCTCCTCTTTCTAGTTTATTAAGGTAGAAACTTAAGTTATTGATTTTGAACTTTTTGTTTTTCTAATGTAAATGGTTATATTAACACTAAGCACTTTTTCATTGCATCCTGCAAATTTTGATATGTCGTATTTTTTTAAAGGATTTTATTTATTTATTTGTCAGAGAGAGAGAGAGAGAGAGTGCACAAGCAGGGGGAGCAGCAGGCAGAGGGAGAAGCAGGCTCCCTGCTGAGCAAGGAGCTGGATGTGGGACTCGATCCCAGGACCTGGGATCATGACCTGAGCCAAAGGCAGATGCTTAATCTACTGAGCTACCCAGGTGTCCTGTGATATGTCGTATTTTTATTGTCATTCAATTCAAACTATTTTCTAATTTCCCTTTTGATTTCTTTGACCTATGGGTTATTTAGAAGAGTGCTATTTAGTTTCCACGTATTTATAAATTTTTCAAATATTTTTCTCTAGTTGATTTCTAATGAAATTATGCTGTGATTGGAGAACATACTTGTTTTATGGCCCAGATTATGATCTGTCTTGGTAAATGTTCCATGTGCACTTGAAAAGAATGTGTATTCTGCTATTTTTGTATGGAATGTTAAGAAATGTCAGTTAGGTCCAGTTGGTTGGCAGCATTGTTATGGTTTTCTCTGTCTTTACAAATTTTCTGTTTATTTGTTCTATCAGTTATTGAAAGATGGATAATTGTGACTTTGTATCTCCTTGCAATTTAATCAGTTTTGCTTCATGTATTTTTAAAAAATATTTATTTTATTTATTTTTTAGACAGAAAGAGAGCGGGGTGGGGGAGCATGCAAGCAGGGGGAGGGGCAGAGGAAGAAGGAGAGAGAGAATTTCAAGCAGACTCCCCACTGAGGGCAGAACTCAATGTGGGGTTCGATCCCAGGACCCCTAAATCATGACCTGAGCCAAAATCAAGAGTCGGACACTCAACCAACTGAGCCATCCGGGTGCCCCTTGCTTCATATATTTTTAAGGTCTGTTGTTAGGTGCAAAACATTTAAGATTAAGTCACTTGGGGGTAACTGGGTGGCTCAGTCATTAGGCGTCTGCCTTCGGCTCAGGTCATGATCCCAGGGTCCTGGGATCGAGCCCCGCATCGGGCTCCCTGCTCGGCGGGAAGCCTGCTTCTCCCTCTCCCACTCCCCTGGCTTGTGTTCCCTCTCTCACTGTGTCTCCCTCTGTCAAATAAATGAATAAAATCTTAAAAAAAAAAAAAGATTAAGTCACTTGAAGAATTGACTCTTATCGTTATGAAATCCCCAGTAATATTTTTCTCTAATCTCTGGTAATATTCCCTTCTCTGAAATATACTTTGATGAATATTAATATAGCTACTTCAGCTTTCTTTGGATTAATATTAGCATGGTATATCTGTTTCTGTCCTTTTACTTTTAACCTATATATATTTTTATAGTAACCTCTATAACTCAGTTTCCTCATTTGTAAAAATGGCGATAATAATAGCGTGTAACTCAAGAGCGTGTTATAGGGTTAAATTAGATCATGTATGTAACATGCTATATACAGTGCATAGGGCTCCAGCTAGCACCTTTATACAAATTAGAAGAGCCCCTCCAGACAGATAAATTAAAAGAGGCACCACCTCTGGCCAATGAGTCAGAGGTTACCCTTTCTAGGTCTATGCTTCTGGTCCCAGAACTTGACAGAGCTTGGCAGTTTTCAGCCCTACTCACACCTTTGCAGGACCCCTCTGTGCTGGGCACAAGTGCTTCAGCATGTGGGTGGCCCTGATCACATCTGATGCATAGTGAATATTCCATAAAACCCTAGCTCATGTGAGGCTGTGTAGTGTAGTGATTAAATCCCTGGCCTCTGAAATCAGACTTAGTTGTAGAATTGTCGAATTGTGAAGTTTGTCTTCAACACTCTCCCTTCTCCTCCTAGAACACCTGCTTCCTCCTGAAGCATCCCTGCTTTCACCCATCTTATCTGAAGGAATGGGACACAGGCAGGCAGTTCAGGAAGCTGAAGCCAGGCAAGTCCTGATTAGATAGGCTGTTTCCTTGGGAGCAAGACCTTTGAGACAGAGACTCTGGCAGAACCATTGAGCCCCATGCTTGAATTCTAGCTGCTGAATCAATAGAAAGTGTGTACAGGGAGAATGACCTTGTATTTACTACTGATCTTAACTGAAATTTCACATCCCCAGTACATGGTAAGGACTCAAAATTGTTTTATTGGAAGTCATATGATAATATCTTTCAGAACAGAGGCCATGTGTTATATTCCTTTAATCTACAATGTTACACATATCATATGCATTTAGTAAGCATGCACTCAATATAATAACATCACTGGTACTGCATTTTTTTTTAAAGATTTTATTTATTTATTTGAGAGAGAGAGAATGAGAGAGAGCACGAGAGGGAAGAGGGTCAGAGGGAGAAGCAGACTCCCTGCTGAGCAGGGAGCCCGATGTGGGACTCGATCCTGGGACTCCAGGATCATGACCTGAGCCGAAGGCAGTCGCTTAACCAACTGAGCCACCCAGGGCCCAACTGGTACTGCATTTTGCAAGACACTTTCATAGGAACTGCTTCATTCTGTTTTCACCACAACCTTATAAAATAGGCAGAAGAGCCATTTTGGGCGCCAATGTTACAGATGAGGAAGATGACACCCAAGAGGGCACGTGGCCTGCCCATGATTACACAGTTGACAGGAGGTAGAAGCTGACCAGGAGCCCAGGACTTCACCCAGATTCTATGGTTACTCATGATGCCAGAGACTCTCAAAGACCAGTTGGCAGGCCAGTGCTAGGACATGAAGGAATTTTCAATAATCCTCAAAGAGATTAGAAAAAAAAAGATAGATGGAGTATTCATTTTTCATAAAGCTAAACTTACTTAATTTTAAAAGGTATCCTTTATTTTGAGACTATGCCCTTCCTAATTTTGTGTAAAAACATTTGTTCTGTTATAGTGTTGCTAGGTGAGAATTGTTATTTATTTGACATACTAGAAGTTGTCAAGCCAGTCCCCCCCAAGCTTTTTCACATTTTACTGGTGTGTAAAATCTAAAAGACTGGGAAGCCCTGCACAATACCACATCATATCTTCTGAATAAATAAATGAATGGAAGATTTAAGGCAGCTAGAAGTCTTTATCCTACCAATGTACTTAGGAGAGGCATCCAAACTAGAGAGATTAAATTGGAAGCCTGGATTCAGTTTCAAATTGGGTCAGTGCGTCATCTTTGGAAGGGGGCGGGTGGTCAAGGAGAGTGTTGAGGACCTAAGAAGAGAGATCAGACTCCAAAATAAGTGGACTGAGTTTGAGTAACCATGCTTGACACAATGCCGTTTTGATTTGTCCTTTTCTTTGGCCAGCCTGATCACATCCTCTGCTCACTTAAGGGAAATTGACCTCGGAAACAATGTCCTGGGAGAAATGGCTGTTGCTGACATTCTTGAAGCACTGAGAGCCAGAAAGACAGGTACGGTGTTTGTGGTTTGTGTTCCCCTCCACTTGTCCACATCTACTCACCCCTAAATGCTATACTACTCACAGCTTGCTCTACTTTTTTCATTAAATAACTGGCCCGAGCTAAGTGATGACCAAGAGCACTGTCATAAGCCACCTACCCTTGTATCCATTTGCTCAGTGATTTGCACAGAGTTCAAGAACTTTTATGATGTCATATGTCATCTTTGACATAAGCACAGTAGTCTCCCCTTATGCATGGGGGACGTGTTCCAAGACCCCCAGTGGATTCCTGAAACCGCACATAGGACCAAACCGTATATATGTTGTTTTTTTCCTATACAAACATACCTGTGAGAGTTTAATTTATAAATGGGCACAGTAAGAGATTAACAATAATAAATAGTAAACTAGAATACTTATGACAGTATACTGTAATAAAAGTTATGTGAATGTGGTCTTTCTCTCAGAATATCTTACTGTACCATACTCTCTCTTCTTCTTGTGATGATGTACAAAACCTGCATGAGGAGATGAAGTAAGGCAAATGACACAGTAGCATTAGGCTACTATTGACCTTCTGATGATTCCTCAGAAGGAAGACCATCTGCATCCTGACCATGAGTAACTGGAGCTATAGAGAGAGAAAGCGTACATTAGAGGAGGGTTACTGTAAGGAATATTCTCTGAGGGACACTCTCCTATTTATTCTCCCCCACAACCCAAACTGCAGATATTTCTCCAGGCAGCAATTGGAAAACTCAAGCGACATCCCTTACAAGATTCTGACGTGCTTGCTGGACCATCTTAAATTGTGATTGACATCGGGAGAGCACGAAGGGTCCTTTATGACCATGTAATCCTTTGAAAATGAGAGAACCACATATGGAATGAGTTATTTATTTAACATTGGCCAACCCTGCCCTCCTCCTTTCACTAATATGCATGACCAGAATTAACGATAGTCATTCTTACTGCTGACAGAGAGAAGATGAGAAAGCGTCATTTAAAATAAAGCTCAGTGAAAGACATTGTAAACAGATTTAAAAATACAAATTCAGTGTTTAACAAGGGGGAAAGAGGGCACCTGGGGGGCTCAGTTGGTTAAGCGTCTGCCTTCGGCTCAGGTCATGATCCCAGGGTCCTGGGATCGAGTCCCGCTTCGGGCTCAGCCTGTTTCTCCCTCTCCCTCTGCCTGCCTCTCTGCCTACTTGTGCTTCTATCTCTCTGTCAAATAAATAAATAAAATCTTTAAAAATAATAAATAAATAAATAAATAAGTAGGGGAAAGACTTCTAGAAGCCTGATGAATCACAGACCTGTACCCCTGAAACCAGTAATACCTTATATGTTAATTTGAATTTAAATTAAAAAAGGAGGGGGAGAAATCGTGGTGCATTATCTGGCAGGTTACGTGAAGAGAATTAAGTAGAACAAGCGTTGGTCTTTATCATTTCCTCGATAAAATGACCTTAGAGACACGACATAGTTTTAAATTGCATTTTTTCCTAATACTGGCAGTTTTAGAGAGAAGAATTACAATATTACTGTCTACCACGTTGCCATTTTTATTTTTTTAATTTTAATTTTTTAAAGATTTTATTTATTTATTTGACAGAGAGAGAGAGACACACAGCCAGAGAGGGAACACAAGCAGGGGGAGTGGGGGAGGGAGAAGCAGCCTCCCCGCTGAGCAGGGAGCCCTATGCGGGGCTCGATCCCAGGACCCTGGGGTCATGACCTGAGCTGAAGGCAAACACTTAACAACTGAGCCACCCAGGCGCCCCAATGTTGACATTTTTATACTGAAACCACTGCATCGTCATTTCTTCACAGCCAACCAAATGATCCCAAGATTTTTGAATTATCCTTTTATTTTGTAGAAACAGAACATCTACTTCCTAGTCCATTTGAGTTGAATTCAAATGCAATGGAATTATTCTTTTAAAATGAATTTAAATTGAACTTTAAGCTCAATAAGCTGAAAGCAGGTTAATGACTTCATTTGGTTTTCCTTAGCACCATGGTCACTTTCTCACCATACCCTGCTTTAGCAGAAGACATTATAAAAGGCTGCAGGCAGTCTTCAGATCATTACTGTAGTGAGTGCAAATGATGGACAGTCTCAGCTGATTTGATGGAAAATGATTCTCATTGAGTACTTATTTGGAGCTGCAAAACATTGTGCTTGCCTAGTAAATGGTTCAATTTGTGTAAATGGGGAAGATAATTATGAAATACCCACCTGAAAATACAGATTCTCATTTAAAAAGCATTAAAAAACAATTTATAGTTCAAGAAAGCATTTTCCCCCCATATATACTAGTATATATCATGAGTAGCTTTAATGCATCCACATTTTGAACCAAAATAATTATGGCATGTTTCTGATGGAGGCCTTACAATTGTCAGTTTGAACACCAAGAAAGACTCCTCAAAATAGAGTTAGCTGGTTGGATTCTTTAGGGAAATCTCTTGCCATTTAGCCTTAATGGTAGCCTTTTAAACATTAAAAGCAATTAGTAATATCGCTAATTATAGAACTAATGTTCTTCTTTTGATTGCTTGTGTGTTCTTATCATTTGCAAGTTAACAAGCTAATTTCTAATCCTAACTCTACTTCTTTCATGAAATCAAATTAACAGCCTAAAGTCATTTATTTGTCTACCAAGGAATTCTTAACGAACTACCTTTAATGATGGAACACACACACACACACACACACACACACAATGAAAGCTTTCTCAGAAACATCAGCAACCTCACTTGTTACCAAAAAAAAAAAAAAAAGGTTAGCAGAGGGAGAAACTGCTGTCTACATCTTAAAGGGTTGCTTTTTTACTAATTAAAAAACAAAAACAAAAACAGAAGACTTCAGGATCATTTAAGTTATCCATTCTTACTTATCTATTTATTTCAACATTAATTTATTAAATGCTGTAGAACAAGGCAAAAGGGCCCTCAGCGACCGCTGAGCCTAATGCAGATGGGCTCATTAGGTGACCTGCCTTGAAACTGCCATAGGCCCTAACTGACCAGTTATAACCAGGCACAGTTCCTAAGCTTAGCAAAAAAGGGAAAATTCCATACATTCCCTGCCTCCTCACTGTGCCCTATAACCGGCCCCCACCCACTGCCTCATAGCAGAGTCTCTCCTTTGCTGTCCTGTCCACCATTCCCTTGCAGTGTATTCAGTAAACTTTTATCTCTTTTGTTCTGCCTGGGGTGAATCCTTTCACCACCCATGCTGCCGGCCTCCTCCCGATCGGAGCACCCCGCATTTGGTGGCCTGCACATCTGATCGAGACACCCCACAAATGCCAGGCCTTGTTTGAGTTGAGCAGTGAAGCCCTGCTTTCATGGGTCTTCCTTGCTAGTGGATGACAGACAGTAAACCAGCTATAAAGAGAAGTAAAATATACATTATTGTATATCAGATGGGAATCATACTTAAGGGAAAAATAAAGCAAGAAAAGGAGATAAAGCATGTACGTCCGGGGATGGGGAGTTCAGTTAGGATAGCCAGGAAAGGCTGTACTAAGAAGAAGCATTTGAGCAAGGACCGCAAGGTGTGTGAGAGCAAGCCATGTAGTTATTTGGGAAAAGAGCGGTCCAGGTAAGTAGAACAGTAGGTGCAAAGGCTTATGGCAGGAGGCTAGCTGGTATATTCTAAAATCAGTATGGAAGCCAGCATGGCTGGAGTGGAGTGAGAAATAATGGGAAGGTAATAGGACAAAATAATTCCAAGAAGTAAACATGGAGGGCAGGGGGCCTTCTAGGCAATTAGGAGGACTTTGATTTTTAACTTTATTGAGATGGAAAGGCATTTGAGAATTTTGAGAGGCGTGACCGCATCTGACCCTTTTCTTATTGAATCTCCTGTCTTCCTCTCATCTTATTAGGATTACTTCAGCTCTAAGTTGAAAATAGATTCGAGGAGAGGTGAGGACAAAAGAAGGAAGACCAGTTAGGGTCTCTGGAAAAATTAAACAGCCATTCAGCAGACCCAGGACATCCAGCATGGCAGAGAATTAGGGTAAAGTCAGAAGCTGAAAAGAGGATTAGGGAAAATTCTACACACTGAACACTTGGGCCTCAGCCTTTACCATTACCTGAGCCACTTTTGTCTGCCCTGCTTCTGGAGACTGATAGCCATGTAGAAGACTGGGGTATTCTTTTTTTTTTTTTTTTTTTTTT